CTGCGTGTTTTACATCGTATCAATGAATCTTATTTCCTGTTAATTTGAATCCTATGGGGAACGGTGAACTTCGATTGGAATTATTGTCATATGTGTACGTATCGTCGTCATCGTCAGAGGAACGCTAGAAGATGACTACTGAGAAATTGAAGCGTTACTTTGAATTTTCCTTGGTTAGTAATAATCGAATGAATGGTCTATGCAAATTATGCCAAAATAATTACAAGGATTTACATGGCATTTACAGTAACTTTGTGAAACATTTAAAACGAAAGCATTTATCTGAATATCAAAAAACGTTCTCTCCTTCTACTGACGAAGATCTGTCAGAAGAAATCGATAGCTCTGATGATCATCCATCGTCGAAAGACTCAACAGAATTCAACAACAAACAAAGTCGAATTGATTTTTCAATGGGTAAAAACCTGATTATTAAATGCAATCTACCCCTGAGTATAGTGGAAAACCCAGCGTTCCGTGAATTCGTCAAAGAATGTTATCCAAAATGGCAGCCGATATCAGCAAGAAAATTGAAATCAAATATTATAGCTGCTTTCAAAAATAGGATTCAAACAACAATTTGCGAAACACTTGAAAAGGTCAATGATGTGACGTTAACTATTGATGCTTGGTCTGATCGACGTGGCCGAGGTTTCTTAGGCATTACCTGTCATTTTCTGGATGACCGAATGTTACCACAAGCCTTTTTGATTGATTTCGTGCGAATGAAATCACCTCATACAAGCGACAATATCCAACGGCTAACGGAATATGTTCTTGAGCGTTATAACATCAAAGAAAAAGTATACAGAATTATTACGGATAATGCATCTTCAATGGTTAAAGCTTACAAATTTGGTTTAGCTTCCGATGACCATCCTTTAAGTCAAAGTGAGCAAGTCGACGCATCCACAGCTGAAGACTATTGTACATTTGTTACTTGTGATCGTAAGTGATATTTTGAATGCAACATCTTTCTCTGTTACATATCTGTACTCATTTCAGAGGATTTTGATCTTCTCCATTTTCAAATGATTGATCCTTCAGAAGGAGACGTTTGTCATAATCAAGCTGGTCTTCAATCCTTACGTATGTCGTGTTTTGCGCATACGTTACAGTTAGTTATACGTGATGGATTGGAAAAAGTCTCACATATCTCGAAAGTCATGGAAAAATGTCAAAATCTAGCTCGATTCGCTCATAAATCAGCCAAAATAGCGGACTTGCTGGATCATATAAAAAAACATATAGAAAAGCCAACCGTTACTCGATGGAATAGTGACTATATGTTGCTGAAATCCGTCTTGTCCATCAATAAAGACGAATTAGAATCAATTTGCAATCTGATCGAATATTCAATCCAGTTCTCAAGTAACGATTTCATTATCATGGAGGAAATTATCAATACATTCGAACCATTTTATCAAATTTCCGTGAGATGTCAAGCTGAAAAGGTCGTAACCATCAGTCTGGTAGTTCCGTCGGTCGTACATTTAGTTTGCCATTTATGCGCCATAAAAGATAATCTATCCTTCTGCCATCAACTTGTACAACAACTTCGAACCGCAATTGAAACAAGATTCGCTGGTATTATCAATCGATTGCATCAACGAGAGGTACGAATTGATGACCCATTCAATGATCCTGTCTATTTCATGGCAGCTCTCCTCGATCCTTCGTTCAAGTTTTTTTGGATTCGTGATCTCAAATTACCTGTCAATACTGAGAATCGATTAAAACAGAATGTTATTCAATTCATATTGGATGAGATTAGCAAAGACGCAAAACCGACATTACGGAAATCGCGTAATGAAATGGATTTACCTTCAAACCAATCATCTGTGGCAATGATGTCAATCAGCAAAATTAAACGAATTAAGTTATTCGTCTATGATGATGAATCTTATCATGATCCGAGTGCAGAAGGGTCGAAATTTTCCAATCCTTCTTTAGAATTAGAAGCCTATTTAAATGATCCTGTGCGATCTAGTTTCTCGGATTATTGGCTACGTTCACCGCTAAAATCAGTGAAAACATTAGTCACTCGTGTCTTCTCAATACAAGCTTCGTCAGCTCCCATAGAGCGCGTCTTTTCCCATGCCGGTCTCATTCTTTCAAGTCGACGAACGCGTATGACTGAACAACTATTCAGGGACATCGTTTTCTTAAGAGCGAATCAAAGTTTATTATAACTATTAATTGCTGCTCTTTTCTGAGTATCAAACAGTATTCGTCAGATTTTATCATTCATGTTGACACATTTGCTCTGTTGTTGTTGTCCTGTAATAGAAGTACTTATATGCTTTTTATCAGGGATACTTTTCTGTGATGATGGATACAGTTTTCTATGTTCTTTTTGTACATGTGAATTTCTGTTTCTTCTGTTTTCAGGAAAAGAGAATAAACTCAGACCGATTCGTAGTTTAATATCTTGACAAATCTTTTTTACGTGATACAGATAAATTTATCTAAAAACATGTTCCAATATCTAAGCGACGAGAGATTATTTTAGAATTCGTCGTCGAATTGAAACCTCATTCACTTTTTCATGTCCATCAATTGTAAGATATGATAGAAAAAAAAAACACCATCGATGTACTTTGTTTTTACTACCTAATACTGTATTCTATGTGACTTTTATGTCCAAAATTATGCGTTAGATGACTTCAATTCCAATTAAGATTTTTGCCGAAAGGGTATTTATTCTTCATAGCCAGCATACGTCAAATGGGATGAACGTAAGAAATATTAATTTAATTACAGCTAGACATGACTAAGGCATCCGTTTATGGAAACATGTGAATTGATTCGTAACATCTGTTGCAACCTCACGAAAATTGAAAATAGACTTTATTTCAAAGTCCAACGATAGATACTTGTACTTTTTGAATGCACTCAGTACTTGCAATTATCAGGTACGATATACTGAAAGTATTATGTATTTTACTCAGTATCCAATACCTGATCCTAAAGGAAAAAAAGAATGCCTTGAGAAAAGCATTATGTTTAGTAATTGTTATTTGAAAAAGAAAGACCGTGAGTTTATATAAACTTTAATACATCGCCCAATGAAAAAGAATCGATACTCTAATATGCGAGAGTGCGAATGAGGATACTCTTTGTGTATTTATGAAACGATAAGAAAAGCTTTGTTCCTCAAGAAAAAGATCTAATTATGAAACCAGTTGTCGAAACTTCATCATAATCGAGATCTCAACTTTTCAAAAGTATTTTGAGGAGGTCAATTGATGATACGAATGTGCATTCAAGCTGACGCCTGAAAAAATCCAACTGTTGCAACTCTAATAGACGGCAAGTATAATGTTGTTTTGTTTACCTCTGCGGAAGCATCATGTGTTGAAATTCTGAGATAATTTAGCAATATGGTTAATCAATTGTCAAGTTGTAAAGAAGCACGTCCTTTATCGAATTGAAAACAAGTAACTTTATAGCAAATAGTTCGTGCCTATCGCTAACACCGGTCTTGGCTTTCTACACTCCAACACACCTACTCATTCCATGACATAACTAAGTCAAATTTTGAAGTGCGTGTAGCGATTCTTTTTGATGATCCATCACCCGAAGAATTGTAGGCGCTCAACCCAGCTACTGCCATGTATATTAGACTTGAGTCTATTTCACTATGACAAAGATAGGAATTCAAGCAGCTCTTTGGACACGTTTGCTTGCCAAATTATTCTTAGATTTTTTTGTGAAACGTGACCTGAAAGGAGTATAGACGTATATATGACGAGAAATCTGGACTCAGTCCCCCGGACCACACCACAGATCGTAACAGAAAACGTAACAATCAGATACTTCAACACTCCTTTCAGGTCATGTTTCGCATTTCAATCCCGCAGGGATTAAGCTAATAGCTTTTGTATAGTGGTTCACGTTTCATGTATTCTGTCTTTTATAGCTCAGGATTGTGCTACACGAATCTTTTTACGAATTTCGAGCTCGTAATGAGTTGTAAGTTTTTGAAATGAGATTCACTACTCACAACCGATGATACTACATCGTTTATATGAAAGCTAGGTTTTTCACCAAACCTTGTTGAGATTACAGGCTCATATGATTCATGATGAGTTTCTGATACGTAGTTTTGTATTATTGAATCATTTGATCATCTGTATTTCTTCACGACAAGAGAAGAAGATACTTTGCAACAACCATATTTTACAGGATTCTTTAGCATACAGAACTGTACACAACAAAACGGCAGTTGAACATGTCTGACGATGAATCCGAGATTGAAGTGCGTAGAAATCTTTTCTTATAAAAACTAATTCACATAGATTGTTCACTATTAGATGCTCTTTTCTACGAAACGTGAGGACGTACCGAAAAAACGCGAAAAACTTCTGAACAAAATCCAAGCACACTACGCTAGAGCAGGTTCCAGTCATGTTTGTAAAGTTAAGGAAATCAATATTCTCATCATCGGTCGAACACGAACAGGCAAGTCTACTATCAAGAGCATGTTGATTGATCCAACAAAAGTACCAGAAGCAATGACACTCAAATCCGACCTTAGAGAGCCTGTGTTTGAATCATTTTTCGTCGAAAACATTAAAATGGTACTCAATATTATCGACACGCCGGGCTTATTTGAGCATAATACTGCGGATGCAATAATTCGCAGTAACGAAATTATTATGGAAGCCATTGAAAAATGCATCAATCTCGAAATTACTAAATTTCATTTAGTGTGCTTTGCTTTCTCAATGACGGCAGGTGTTCAAAAGGACGATGTCGAGGCTCTCAAATTTTTCATCGATCGGCTGGGACCCGATGTTTCAAAAAACTCTTGTTTGATCGTAACCCGTTGTGAATCCAAGAGTGAAGAACAGTTAGAAACACTCAGCAAGGAACTTCAGGCAGACGTAGCTTATCAACCAATCAGTGGTTATTTCAAGAGAGGGATTTTCTTTACTGGATCGATTAATCCCGATGACTACCTAGCAGGTGAGACATCTATCGTCAAACAGTATCAGATGGTCCTTCAATATCGCACAAAACTGCTTCAAGAGTTCACAAAGGACCTTCCACCATTTCAAATTAGTCACTCTTACATTAGCGAGATTCGTAAAATTCGAGATGAATTTCATGTGGAAAAAGCGGAGCTGGAACAGGAATTAAAAGAACTGAAACGGAAAGGAGACGAGCAACAAAAGGAACAAGAACTTCTTCTAAAACAAGATGAAATTCATCGAAAGCAACAAAAGGAACAAGAACTTCTTCTAAAACAAGATGAAATTCATCGAAAGCAACAAAAGGAACAAGAACTTCTTCTAAAACAAGATGAAATTCATCGAAAGCAACAAGAGATCTATCGCAAGCAACAAGAATTGCAGAACAAGAAAATCCGTGCTCAAGAAGACGCTACAAAAAATGCAAAAGCTAGTGGAGGGTGCTCGATTTCCTGAACTTTAATATGTATCGAAGATTTAGAGACTCATTTATATATTTTACATGCGAGTTGTTAGTCTAATGACCTAATAAACTATTTCGTTTTTTTAGATTACCATTTATAAGAACTTATTTTGGACTGAAAACATGGGGATCGATTCGCGACAAATGCAAATAATGAAGGCAATTGAAGAAAGGTTCGATTCCCTTGAGCGTTCAAAGCCAACGCTCGATGGGAAAGAGCCTGTAGAACGAACCATTCTTTTGCTTGGACGTCGGAGAACTGGTAAGACAACAATGAAAAATTCCATTGAAAATCCCAAATACGTGCCTAACGAATTACGAATTATGTCACAGCCTAGTACGATCGATTTTAAAGCGGTAAAATATGATAATCCGGCTCTCTTGCTCACAATTATTGACACGCCTGGGTTCTCGGATCCTCGAAATTTCGATGAAGAAATCGGGGTAATTCAACAGGCATGTACCGAGCGCAGTATCAACAGTTTTCATCTACTGTGCTTTTGTACTTCGTTCGATGCGGGCATCAACCGAGAAGATATCGAACTGTTAGAGCATATCATCGAGTATTTTGGTGAAAAGGTCACGTCTAATTTATGCTTGATTATCACCCGATGCGAATCGAAAAATGAAGACCAACGAGAGCGTATGTGTAAAGAAGTACAACAAGATGCTTTTTTCGTGGATGTTGTTAGGAGAGTAAAACGAGGCATTCATTTCTCAGGCTCTCTTAATTATGACGATTGGAATCAAGCAAATAGCGCTCTTTATCATCAGTTTTTGGCCATTTACGAGTACCGCGAAAATCTCTTGCGATTTTTTGCCATGGATATCAATCCATTTTCGTTCCAAAAACTGTCACGGCCACTGATCAACCCAGTTGCACTACCAGTAAGTCATCAATCAAGAATCGAACATGAACATTCTTCTAACAACATTGCTCCAGGAGGGTAAATATTTATGTTTCAGTATTTCTTTCTTTCATCTTTAGGATCATCAATAGGCAAAATCATAGAATAGCCCAAATGTCATGAAACATTTCCTTTTCTGAAAATCGCGAGAAGAGGTAATAGAGTGGTGCATTGCAGGAGATTCACGTGTTATGAATCTGAATTTCAGTTATTCCTGAAATTTAGAGTACTATAAAAGTTGCTTGTTTCTGGTAATAATCTTGAAACGAAACTCCAAGAACTCAGGCGTCGCTAAGCACTGTGCCTGTTCTTCTAAGGGATACTCATGGATGTTAGAGATCATCGTTGTAGCCTTCTATATGTATATTTCATACTTCCCTCGATATTTGTAATTTGAAGAGGTGACATCCAGGAGAAAAATTTCAGTCAATCATGTCTTCGATTTATTTGTTCCAACTCAAGATAAAGCGGACGGCATCTCGTGAAGCTCACTCTGATCGTACAAAAGAAGAACCACTGAAATCAAATTCATTATCAATGAATTACTTAGAATAAACCTCTAATAGGCTGTTTTAAGTGAAGCAATGAACCCATGAACTCCCATTTGTACGAGTTACGAAAAGGAAATGGTACAATCATTTTCCGATGCACTCCTTATCTAGTAGTTTTTCTTTCAAAAAATTGAGAAACAATCAGCAGCATGGGGAGAATAGTTCGCAAAGTTATTTTTGTTTTTGACATTAATTAGGCACCAGGTGATTTCACTTGAAACGCAGCGCCTTTATACAGCTCAAGTGATATATCACGAATCGAACCAACAGAATTCTACGGCAGTGCACAGATACATTGCAACAAAAGTACCGATTATTATTTTAGTCCTCCTGGCGGTTGCAGCGATCGTGATATGGATAATTGTAGGGAACATGATTTAACAACATCTTCTCAGACACGATCATTTACAAAGCCATCCGTACCAAAATGTTGTAATTTATTCACAGAAACGTTAAATTCCTGTTTACAAAGATGTTCTACTTCCTGGAATATTTTATGTAATTTTTTTGTCATGCTTCTTTTGTATGTCAACCGAATATTGTTCATTTTATTCCAGATAATCGCCTTTGTTGCAATAGGCGCCCTCTTTTTCTTGTGCGTATGCTGTTGTTTTCCTTATGTATGTTATGTTACCTTTTTCGAAGGAAAATGACATGTGATGGCGCGAGTAGCTACCATCACTCAGCAAACGCTGTCAAAGATTGTCATCAGCTGCTTTTTATTTTGTCTGATTCCATACATGGTGCACCTCCTGAGGATGTGTCAATCAAATACCCATATCCAAATATTGTCTTCGGTGCAACGTCCAGTCGATTTCTTGAATTCTGTTATCGTTTCTACAATTTGTTCGAATAAAGAAGAGTTTCGGTCAGAAGTTACCTCAATCGATTTCTACATTGCTAAAGAGACTCTTTAGATAGGGAAGAATCGATGGATGAGTCAAGAAGCCATGGCCGGTTTCGATATTTCTCAAGAATTTTATCAGATGTCTTAGATTATTACAAAGAGAGTTTTTTGGGGTGTGGGTGTGTATGTGTAATTGATTTAAATAAAATCAATCAAAAGCGAACAAGATCGGTTTTGATAAGTGCTTAAATTAAACTTATCAATTGCTTTAGATTGAAGGATGTTACAAAAATATATAACTCTCCTACTATCAGGCATTAATTTCGAAAGTTTTTTTTAGAAAAACTTCCAAACAATTAATAATCCTGAACTACTATCATCTGAAAGTTTTGGAGAAAACTTCCAATGACAGGCTAAGAGATTTTTCCTCTAGTGGGTGTATATGTGCAATTGACTTAAATAATTATTAAGAAATTTTTAGATTGAGAGCATCACACGACTAGTTTCTGCCCTTGGCGAGAAATCGATTCGATTGTTTGGGATCGGTTTCTATACATTAATATATAGGTTGTGTTTTACGAAATAAACTTTTTCGAATTTTTATAAGCGTTATTTAATAAACTGAATCGTTTAGGTTCAATTTTTTCAATAAAATAGAAGATACGATTGTAAATTCAGAGCACCACACGACTAGTGTCGTCCTTGCTTGAGGGATCAAAATCAATGAGAAACAGATCGCCTTATATTTCTATAATAATGACAAATCAATCACCTAGTCTAAACTTTTGCTGGTCAGAAATCCAATTTTTCTGTCGGTAATAAAATATGAAGTAGATGTGCTTGAATTAAAAAGCAATGCATATGCAATTTTGCGGACGCGTTTCGTGTATTTTATTGATATATTAAAGCACTCATCATGGTTCTGCATTGCAGATAGAAGGAAAAAGGTATAAATAGTAAATAACTATGTGTGTGTGGGATATAAAATGACCGTCGACTCACGACAGTTGTCATTTGTACCTTTGCGGGACTACATCAAGAGGAATGCTAATATTATATGTACTAAATAGTGATTCTTTTAAAAGTAGATAGGAATTGAATTAATTTTCGATATAATAATTAAATTTTTGAACATTTGCCCATATAAATTTTTGAGAATAGAATTGATTTGAACTAAAATTGTGGACACGTCTAGAAGTCTATGTCTATCCACTGTGAAAATTTTTTAACAAATATCACAGATCTCTATATACATATGGATGTGTGATATAGAATTATCGCCCACCAATGACAACGGTTATTTCCGACCATGGGGGGACTTCATTAAGTGGAATCTTAATATTATATCTGGAATATGGGATGTTGGTGTAGGTGAGTATGTTAAAATAATAATTGGACAAAGCTTCACATAGCATTTAGAGGAGTTTTAGAAGAGCTATCACGGCGTTTATCGACCGTACTTAGGCATCTTATCACAGGTGTTCCAGTAGATTGTTATAAATTTTAGCATATTGAAGAATGCTTGGATGTCTGATGGGTATAGCTTAGTGTTCAGTAGCATTCGTCACAGAAGTGAATACAGTGGTAGTGTTTTGATGAAAAGTTTGTTGTACATTTCAGGCTTAGTATTGACAGTGGTGTTTATTCACGAATGTATACATAGTATGCATATTGTTATCAGGCGTTTTTACTTTTGGCTTTATAAAAGTATTTTGTTTTTCGAAGCTGTAAAATGATGACACATGACTTTTTTTTTCAATTTAACAAGCTTCTTGTATCAAGTGATGCTTTCGTAAGAGTTTTATCTTCGCATATGAGATGTTTAACAATTGTTTGTGCTTCTTATCATGTTATCTATAATGCGACCATCATGTAAATATATATATTAACTCACTTTTTGTAACATAAATTGTGTTTCTTTTGTAACTGTCGAATTTTTTTCCGTGGGTCTCATCGAATTACAGGTATGTCGTTTCTTTTAATAAGTTCCAACAAGTCACATGGTTTCTTTGAATACGAGGAAATTTTCATTATGTATAGTTCGTGGAGCTTGTTGGTTTCGATGTAGAATGTGTCGAGTTTGTGAATTGACAGTAATGATCAACACTAATTAGAGAACTCTTTCTTTCATTACCTGTTAACATCTTTGCTTCCGAAGCAAATGGTCGAATTCCAGCCGGAAACTTTGGACTGTGAATAGGATTCATGATTCTCTGAATTTCGGAAATTTTATGCTGAAAGATACGTATTCTGTTAGAAATATTTCATATTACGATGCCAACTGTTCACTATAAGAAAAAGTCCTGGAAGTTTATATTAATACAGACAACCTTGCGAGAAAAGCAATAACTCGTACAGCCTGCGCGGCTTTCATTTCCGCAATCATCTCTTGCTTTTTCTTGGTTAGTGTTTAATGTTCGATTGCTGATCTAGTATCAGATCGTTTTTGTCTGTAAATAAAGTGCGTTTCAAGGCTTTACATTTCTCGCAAAAAGTTGTGAAAACTTAGAAATATGCTTTATAAGACTGGTGCGTAACACTAAGAGTGAATATAGAATCAGTAGTGGCATTCACTGACACAATATGATCCCCAAACAGAAATGTGTATTGTGAAGATCAGACTTTGGACAAGTACCAGTACAGTAAGTATAAGCACAAGTACTCGGTACTTCGCTTCTCTACTTAGGATATGTACTTTGTACTATGCAATTAAGTGTAAGCGTACTCAGTATTTTTACTTGCTTCAGTTATACTTAAGTACAAATCTACTCAACATTTGTGTCAAATGCAATTGTAACTACTTAAATAAAACTGTCTATGTGTTCATTGATTATAAATGGAACCAGTAACATTGACTGAGAGATCATTCCTTAACAGTAAACCTCTCAGTTCAGCCCTGTCTAAAATGATCCTACCGGTTTTCGTTTTTGCACTATCTGCTACCTGAAATTATATTTGTCACAGCTCTATGTCAATCGATGAAATGCCTGAGAAAGAGACTGCACATGAATGCAAATTATTGTTCGATCGTTAGTATTTGAAGTTATGTAAAGGTTTCCATTAAATCACGTTGTCCATGACGGAGTTGATCCCCAATCATAAGGCATAATGTTCAATTATTTAAGCGCTGCATTAACTTTGTGCCAACAAATGAGATTGTAGGTACCAGGAATGTTGAAAAAGTCATGTCATGATATACCACTAAATTCCTCATCGACAAAATGTTTTTTGTCTTAATCTATCATACCATGTAGCAAAGAAATACAGCGACTCTATTTAAAACATGATATTTCACTATAGTACCTATCAATACATATTTTTAAAACGAAGTAATGTACTTTAGTTTTAGATCACTCTCGAGCACAAATGTAGGAATGGGTCTTCGTTAAAATCATTACATAAACGAATGCTTCTCCTTCTTGTGACCATTAGTCGACATACTGTGGTAAATGAAAAATTGAAACACTATTTTGATTTCTCACCAATGGAGAAAAATCGAATGAATGGTGTATGCAAACTATGTAGCCAAAATTACAAAGATTTAAATGGTATATATAGTAACTTTTTAAAACATTTGAAACGGAAGCATTTATCGGAATATCAAAAGAGTTTCACTCCTCGTAGCGACGAAGATTTATCAAAAGAAATTGATAGTCTCCCTGATCGTACAGTAAAAAATGATCTGACACAAGCGATCAGCAAACAGTCGAATTACTTTATCAATGGCAAAAAATTTGATTATTAAATGCAACTTACCCTTATCTTTGGTAGAAAATCCTGCATTTCGTGAGTTCATGAAAGAATGTTATCCGAAATGGCAGCCAATATCTACAAAAAAATTAAAATCGGATATTATCTCTTCTTTCAAGACTAGAATTCATAAAATAATTTGTGACACACTGGAAATAGTTAATGATTTAACATTAACTATTGACGCTTGGTCTCATCGGCGTGGTCGAAGTTTCTTAGGCATTACTTGTCATTTCATTGATAATAAAATGGTACCACAAGCTTTCCTGATTGACTTCGTACGAATGAAATCACCTCATACTAGTGACAATATCCAACGATTAACTGAAAATGTGCTTGATCGTTTTAATGTTAAAGAAAAAGTTTTCAGAATTATCACGGACAATGCGTCTTCAATGATCAAAGCTTATAGATTTGGTTTAGCCGTTGATGGTGACTATCAAATTCATGATGATCAATGTGATAAATCAACAACGGATGACTGTTCTACATTTGATAATTATGATCGTAAGCTATGCTTGGTACTTTCTGACGCGTTTCTTTTGTAAGAACCATCAACGAGTCTTGAAAATGAGTGCTAATGTTATTTTTTCTTGATCATAAGACCCTTTTTCCGCGTTTTCATACCAAAAGGAAATTCAAGGCGAATTTTGTTCATATAGCAAACAAAATATCATTGTAGTTTTTTGTTTCCGGATAAGATCAATTCCCGTCAAAGTAACAGATTCAAACAGTTTAGAGAACAAGAAATCATATTATATGAACATTCTTTCTGTTTCCATTCTTCACGAAACCTATGGATTCTATGCTGCATAGAATTATTTAATTCGAATCATACAGATTGAAAAAGATTGAGTTTGTCGAAAATATCCTGGAACAATTTTCGTATATTACGATACAAATCTGGCGATAAAATCATCAATCTTCTGAAAATTTCCAATTGCAAAATATTCCGCTTCTGTGTGTCTTTATTTATTTCAGAGGATTTTGATCTGAGCAATTTTCAAATTGTCAATACTATGCAAACAGATGTCGTGCGTGATGATGCTGGCATTAAATCAGTACGCATGTCATGTTTTGCACATACTTTGCAGTTGACAATACGTGATGGGTTGCAGAAGAATCCTCACATTTCCAAAGTTGTGGAGAAATGAGAAGCGCTGGCTCGATTTACTCATGCATCGTCCGAAATAGCTGACTTATTGGATAAAATACACAAGCATATCGAAAAACCGACCGTCACTAGGTGGAACAGTGAGTTTATGTTAATCAAATCGATCTTGTCAATCAGTAAGGAGGATATAGAATTGATGTCAAATTTGGTGGAAAATTTCATTCATTTTTCAAACAATGATTTTATAATTATGGAAGAAATGGTCGACATTTTAGAACCATTTTGTCGAATTTCGATAAAATGTCAAGCTGACAGAGTGGTAACCATTAGCTTAGTTGTACCGTCAATCGTGCATCTGGTGTGTCACTTGCGTTCTGTTAAGGAAAATCTTTCAATTTGTAATTAACGTGTACAACAGCTTCAATCCGCGATTGAAAGAAGATTTGCTGGCGTAATATATCGATTATATCAAACGGACGTTCAAAATGACGATCCATTCAATGATCCTTTGTATTTCAGGACAACTCTGCTCGATCTGGCATTCAAGTTCTTTTGGATTCAAGATCTCAGATTACCAGCTAATGTTGAAAATCGATTGAAACAAAATGTTATTCAGATGGTACTCGATGAGATCAGTAAAGATATAAAGCCACGATCAGAAGAATTTGCCAGTGAAACGAATTCTTCTGGAAACAAATCGTCTTCGGTACTATCATCAATAAACAATGGGAAACAAATTAAATTATGACTATCACCATTATGATAATAAAAGTTTACTTGGCTCAAAACATTTAAATTCGTCTTTAGAATTAGAAGGGTATTTGAATGATCCTATGCGATCTAATTTCTCTGATTATTGGTTACGTTCTCAGCTGACATCATTAAAAAAATTAGTAGCTCATATCTTCTCAGTTCAAGCTTCGTCGGCTCCTATAGAGCGTGTATTTTCCCATGCTGGTCTCATTCTGTCAAGTCGACGAACACGCATGAACGAACAATTATTTAGAGACATTGCGTTTTTGAAGGCTAATCAATGCTTAATTTAAATATTTATGACGATGTCTTTGTTTTCATATCATATGATGTTCCGCAGATTTTCTCAATTTTGTTTTTGGTATCGGGAAATTGTTGTTTTTCTAATTATGGAAATGTCTATATTGTAATTAATCAGGGATTTTTTTATTAGACACTTCATGTTTTTCCATCTTTATCTGCACATCGCGTGTAATTCTGTTGCATTGTGACGCAAAGAAAAGAAAAATAGATCAGTTTAAACCTGCATTTCAGTGGGAGCCATTTTTCGTAAAAATATTGAATTTCTACCATCTCTTTCTATGAGATTCTGGATTACTAAATCGTCTATTTTCCCTGTTACTATCATCGATCCCTCATAACCGATATATATCACAGAAACGAACCTCAGACTACATGAATTCGACTAAACATTTGACTTGATGATCAATGATCATTTACGACGAGAATACTTTGAGTACGATTAGTGTATGAAATGAAAATTTAATGTAAGATATCCACAACTACTGCCTACTTTATGAGAAATCGTGTTTTTTCCTATGACATGAATTATTATCTCACAAAGATTGGTACTAGAGTATTCTTTCTCAGTTCATGTATGAATACTTGTACTGTGAAAATGTACTCAATACTTACATTCGTTAGGCAGGATACACTGAAAGTATCAAGTATTGTACTTAGTAACCAATGTCTGATATACAATAAACAACGCAATTTTCTATCAAAAGCTGGTTGTTTAGTGATTGCAGCTGATAGGCAGGAACCCAGTGAACATACAATATTTAATGAATTGACTGATGAGAAAATTGAAATTTCAATATGTGACGAGTCTAATGGGCGTAATATCTGATTATTAAGAGAATGAAAAAGGACTCTTTTATACGCGTCTCTAAAAGGCACAAAGCCAGGAAAATCGTTGATGACATTCGATGATATTTAGACTTCATTATACTGAACGGTTAGCTCATTGAATAAACTCTGGGCTTGTCCGACTGTCATCCGAAAGAGATTTTCGTTATCTGTTTTCTAGCTGTAAATAATGTTATCTGATACTTCCAAATGGCGGGTCATATAGCTATGACGAAACCCCACAAACATCGATTGTAGCTAATCCAAGTTTCTTGCGCTCGGCAGAGCCATAAAATTCTACTAATCCATGAAATCGCCAGTATCAAGGTTTATCTCCACTAGAATTCTTTCAAGTCGACCATAAACAATCTGATGAGGCCCATAAGTAATATCATCATGCATGATAATAGATGCTTTCTCTTCTTCTTGATCTACATCTTCAAGATATCTTCCTTGTAGTTTTATCATTATTTGTTGCATATTTTAAGTGTACCAATTTTGCCAAATAAGAATTTCTACATGTAAATAAGAAAAACATTAGGAAGTAAAAAACGTAATATTCTATGAAAATCATAGAGAGTGTTGCCTTTCAAATTTTTCGTTGCGTCATTGCTGTGTTGGCATCAAAAGTATTCGATATATGAGGATAGCTTACAGAGCTCTGTATCGGCTGGTCTGTAAAAATTCAGCCCATGGATTATTTAGTTCTTCATCGATCCACCCATCATGGGCTGGGTTGAATGTCTACCACCCAACCCAAGCCTTAGGCAACACTGCTCAAACTATGAGTGCCTATGGACTTATCAATATCTCAAAAATGTTCAACATAATCGGTGCCTATCC